AGTGATGTGATAGAAAAGGAAAACCCATTTTTTCCGAGGAGAAATTCAAGCCCCTTACAGAAATTTGCCTAAGTAACAATGAGCCAAATGTTAATCACCAAGACAATGGGGGAAAATGTCTCCAGGGCATACCAGAGACCTACACAGCAGCCCCTCCCATCCTAGGCCCAGAGGCCTAGGAGGGAAAAATGGTTTCCTGGGCCAGGTCCAGCACTCCCTTGCTGTGTGCTGCCTCGGGACTTGGTGCCCTGCATCCCAGTCACTCCAGCCACGGCAAAACGGGGCCAAGGTACTGCTCAGGCTGTTGCTTCAGAGGGTACAAGCCCCAAGCTTTGGCAGCTTCCATGTGGTATTGGGCCAGCAAGTATGCAGAATGCAAGAATTGAGGTTTGGGAACCTCTGCCTAGATTTCAGAGGTTGTATGGAAATGCGTGGATGTCCAGGTAGAAGTCTGCTGCAGGGGCGGAGCCCTCATGGAGAACCTCTGCTAGGGCAGTGCGGAAGGGAAATGTGGGGTCAAATCTCACACAGAGTCCCCACTGGGGCATTGCCTAGTGGAGCTGTGAAAAGAGGGCCACTGTCCTCCAGACCCCAGAATGGTAGATCCACTGACAGCTTGCACCATGTGTCTGGAAAAATTGCAGACACTCAATGCCAGCCATGAAAGCAGCAGGGAGGGGGCCTCTACCCTGCAAAGCCACAGGGACGGAGCTGCCCAAGGCTGTGGGATCCCACCTCTCGCATCAGTGTGACCTGGATATGAGACCTGTAGTCAAAGGAGATTATTTTGGAGCTTTCAGGTTTAATAACTACCCTATTGGATTTCAGACTTGCATGGGGCCTGTAGCTCCTTTGTTTGGGCCAATTTACCCCATCCAATTTCTTCCATTTAGAATGAGGGTATTTACCCAATGCCTATAACCCCATTAAATCTAGGAAATAATTAACTTGCTTTTGATTTTACAGGCTCTTAGGTGGAAGGGACTTGCCTTGTCTCAGAAGAGACTTTGGACTTGGACTTTTGGGTTAATACTGAAATGAGTTAAGACTTTGAAGGACTGTTGGAAGTGCATAATTGTGTTTTGAATTGTGAGGAGATGAGATTTAGGAGGGGCTGGGGCAAAATTAAATGGTTTGACTGTGTCCCCACCCAAATCTCATTTTGAATTGTGGTTCCCATAATCTCCACATGTCGTGGGAGGGACCTGGTGAAGACAGTTGTATCATGGGGGTGGTTTCCCCCATCCTGTTCTTGTGATAGTGAGTTACTTCTCATGAGATCTGATGGTTTTATAAGGGGCTTTCCCCTTTGCTGGGCACTTCTCCTTGCTGCCGCCATGTGAAGAAGGATGTGTTTGCTTCCCCTTCTGTCATGATTGTAAATTTCCTGAGGCCTCACCAGCCCTGTGGAACTATGAGTTAATTAAACCTCTCTCCTTTATAAATTACCCAGTCTCAGGTGTGTCCTTGTAGTAGCATGAGAAAGGACTAGTATACTGATACGCCTGTCAACAACTTTCTTCAAATATGTTTTTTATATATATGTATTTTTTCTTATTTCTAGCATTTCTCTATGTCTCTTTTTTTGTAGTCTTCATATTTCTGCAAAAATTCCCCTTTTGTTCTTTCATATTGTCTACATTTTCCACAAGAGCCTTTCATATTCACATATTACTTATAGTTGTCTTAAGTTCTGTGTCAGATAACTACAGCATCTGCATCTTGCACCTGGTCTTGCTTTCTCTCTCTCTCTCTTTCTCTTTCTCTCTTTCTCTCTTTAATATAGAAACAGGGACTCACTATATTGCCCAGACTGGTCTTAAGACTCCTGGCCTCAAGCAGTCCATCTGCCTTGGCATCCCAAGGTGCTGGATTGTAGGTATGAGCCACCAAACTTGGCCTGCTTTGTCCTTGACAGTAGGGTTTTTTTTGGTATTTTAAAATTTGTGTGTGTGTGTGTTGTAATTTTTTTTTTTTTTTTTGAAATAAGAGTTTCACTTTTGTCAACTAGACTGGAGTGCAATGGCATGATCTCAGCTCATTGGCGAGCAAAACGTCCTTCTTTACATGGCGGCAGCAAGGAGAAGTGCCCAGCAGAGGGGGAAGCCCCTTATAAAACCATCAGATCCCATGAGAAGTAACCCACTGTCACAGTCAAACTGCAACCTCTGCTTCCCAGGTTCAAGCAATTCTCCTGCCTCAGCCTCCCGAATAGCTGGGATTACAGGCACCTGCCACCACACCCAGCTAATTTTTTGTATTTTCAGTAGAGATGGGGTTTCACCATGTTAGCCAGGCTGGTCTCAAACTCCTGACCTCAGGTGATCCATCTGCCTTGGCCTCCCAAAGTCTTGAGACTACAGGCGTAAGCCACTGTGCCCAGCCTGTGTTGTAATTTTTTTATTGAGTTTCGGATGCAGTGTTTAGAATAATAAGGACTGAGTTCATTATTATTTATGCCTGGAAATTGTCCTATCTCTTCTTCTCTTAGGCCATTAGTGTGGGGGATTCAGTCATTTTTTTCAGAAGTTGAATTAGGTTTGAGTTTTGTTGTTTCTATGATTACTTCAGTGTCTGTATCTCCTACAAATTCTGTACAGTCATGCTAGCTACACTGGGTCTTTAGTAATTCCATAAACATTTTGACCTGGCATGTTGTCTTACACCCATAATCCCAACACTTTGAGAGGCTGGGACAGGAGGATCACTTGAGGCTAGGAGTTTGAGACTAGCCTGGACAACATAGCAAGACCCCATCTCTACCAAATAATAATAACAATAATAAAATTAGCCATGTGTGGTGATGTGCATTTGCAGTCCTAGATACTTGGGAGGCTGAACTGGGAGGATACCTTGAGCTCAGGAGTTTAAGGTTACAGTGAGTCATGACTGCACTACTGTGCTTCAGCCTGTGGACAGTGTCAGACTTTGTTTCTGAAAAATAAAAACATAAACAGTAGCTGAACTGTTCTTACCTACTTGCAAGGAGAGCTTGTCTTTCTCTTGCTACACAACTGAGTGAGTGCCTGCATCCCATCTCTTCTTGGAGGCTCCTGTCCTTCTTTGGAATGCAGGTTAATTGGTTGCTCTGCAACCTTAGGTCTCTGATAAGTTTGACAAAAGCTGTGGTTCTGTAAATTACCCAACAATTTTTAAAAACTGTTATTAGTTTGATAATGATGCTCTTCCCAGCTTTCTGCATCCTAGGTGGAAGCCGGAGTCTCAAGCCATATACCTTTTCACAGTGCTATTCAAACTTTTGGCCACCCACTCCTAGTCTGCTGCTTGGGTCTTTCTTTTGGGTGACACCCTTCCAGCTTAGCCCCCTGAAATATTTTCAGGTTAGATGTTTCCCCCTCTCTATTCTTTCTTTATGGCAAATATCTGGCAAAGAGAAGGGACAGAGGTTCCTGATCTTTCTTCATCTTGGGCTGAAAATAATCCATGGATTCATGTTCTCAAGGATACATCTTGGCCGGGCGCAGTGGCTCATGCCTATAATCCCAGCATTTGGGAGGCTGAGGCGGGCAGATCACTAGAGGCCAGGAGTTCAAGACCAGCCTGGCAACAGGGCAAAAACCCGTCTCTACTAAAAATACAAAAGTTAGCCAGGCATGGTGGTTTGCACCTGTATTTCCAGCTACTCAGGAGGCTGAGGTGGGAGAATTACTTAAACCCAGGAGGCAGAGGTTGCAGTGAGCCAAGATCATGCCACTCCACTCCAACCTGGGCGACTGAGTGAGACTCTTTAAAAAAAAAAAAAAAAAAAAAAAAAAAAAGATACATCTCTGAAAATGGGGACATGACTTTGGGAGTGAGCTAAGTTCTCATCCACTGTACTCCTGACTTGGCCCTCATTTTCTGTGCTAGAAAATTAGATGAAGTATCTACTCTATCCATTAATGAGAAATAAGAATCAAACCAACCCACTGAAATATTTCTTAGAAGATTGAAACTACAACAGGATAAAAGGGGATCAGACTGGGAGTAGTGGTTACAAGCACAGTCTCTGGAGGCAGTGTACCTGGGTTTAAATTCCAGGTCCATCACTTACTAGCTGTAGGGCCTGGGACAAGTTCCTTCACCTCTCTGTATCTCAATTTCTGTATCTGTAAAGTGGAAACAACAAGAGAATTAAAAGGGTTAATTTTTGTAAAGCACTTATAATAGTGACTGGCACATAATAAGCTCTGTGGAAGTGTTAACAATTAGGGCTTACTTCCTATAATTTCAGAAATTTGTGGAAGAGAGCAGTTCCCTCCCTTTCTCAGAGCCCATTACAATCAAAACAGCTAATGATTACTGAGCATTTCCAAAGTGCCCAAGTCCTGTAACTAAGCATTTTATATAAATTATCTCATAAGAGGGAGGGATTAATTATTCCTATTTAATAGGTAAAAGATCAAGGATCAGATAAGTGTTTACTCAGCTAACTAGAGGCATCAATAGTTTTACAACCCAACAGGGTCTGACTACATTGCCTGTGCTCTTAACCATTGCATTTGTTGCTTCCCACAAACTAGTTTCCATGCTTGTAAACTAGTGGGAAAGTTGTATGCTGTAGTTATCTCACAGGGTTGTTTTGAGATCCCAATAATGTTAAGAGGCAGTGCTTTAGATATTTGTACAGAGTGCTGGTCCCCTGACAGGGAAACCTGAATGTGTCAATATTTGTTCACACTTCCCTCCCTCTGCACATGCCCTTCTCCCTCTTTTCTGCTTGTTGAACTCATGTCTTCAAGATTCAGCTCAGATATCAGCGTCCAGATTTTATTCTAACAATGGAGGAGTTTAGGCAACACCGTGTGGCCGGGGAGTGGGGGGGCACACCAGACTTGTGTTCTGAAATGACAGCTGAATTGCAATGCAGGGAATGGAGTGTAGCCGGGCCAGAATGAGTACAAGAAAACCAGATAGAAGGCTACTGCATTAGGAGCCCAGGCGGGAGGTGGTGGGGCAAACGGAAGGAATGGTGGACTGGAAAGATATTTAGGAAAGAGAATCGACAGGAAATGGAGGTGTATTTTAATATGGGCAGCGAGGGAGAGGGAGGTGGCAAGGATGGCTCCTAGTTCCTGGCTTGCTCGCGGACGTTTGTCGAATGAATGATCCAGTGACCCCAAAGTAGAAGTATCTCAGAGAGATCTCCCCACTCCCCTCCCCGCACCCGTCACCACGCTGCTTTCGGAGCTCTGACGGTAAGGGGGTGGATGGACGGGAGGAGAAAAGGAATGGCCAGGGAGTCTTGGTCCAGGAGCTGCTAGACTGGACACTTCTAGCACTGGTCTGAGCCAGGAGACGCTGCGAAAAGAGGGCAAACGTTTCTCCTCTCGCGGTTGCCGCCTGGCCCCTCCAACCCGCCTGGCCAGCAGTGCAGCGCCCCTCTTAGCACCGTGGAGGTGCTGGCTCCTTGCCGGCGTCGGGGGGCGCGGCACAGCGGCCCACCCCTCCAGCCCTGACCCGCCCGGGCGGCCCGGCGCCCACCCCGCCCTGTGTACTGGTAGGTTGGGCGGCGGCTCTGTCTAGTCCCAGAGCCAGGAATCAGGGGCAGCCGGGCGAGTCCCAGGGCAGGGGTCCTCAGCCGCCTTGCACCTGCCCTGCTGGGCGGCACCGGGTCAGTGCCCTGACACCTCCTGCGGGTCCCCACTCTCTCTTTCCCATCGTGCGTCCTCTGGAGAAGTGCGCGCGTGTAAGTGTGGCAAGTGTGGCCAAGGGTACCGGAGGCAGGATTAGGGCGCGTAGTCGTTGCGTGGGCGCTGCCCAGAAGGCGCAGAGCATGAAGTGTGCGTGGGCACAGCCGGCGCGGGTGCCCGCCGCGGGTCTGCGCGGGGCGGGGGCGCAGCAAGTGCATCTGAGCGAGCGGAGACCAGCGCACCGGCGTCGGCGGCGAGGGTGGTGCAGAGAAGCCCGACTGGGCGGAGGGCGGAAGGATGCGTGCGGGTAACTTTTTGACTGCCTTGGAAGTACCAGTAGTCGCGCTCGCAGGGGCTGCCTCCGGCCGCGGGGCGAGCTGCGAGCGAGTGAGCCCGCCGCTGCCCCTCCCCCACTTCCGCCTCCCGCCTCTTCCTCGTTCCCGGCTCCCAGGGCCCGTCGGTCCCCCGGGAGCCCTGGAGGCGCAGCCCCACCCCGGCCGGCGCGGCTCGCTCCCACGCCCCCGCCGCCGCCTCGCTGGAGCGGACGGACTGAGTCAGCGGGGGCGCCAGCGCTGCAGGTAGGGGCTCCAGCGGCGGTGGGCGCAGGTGCCGCGGGGGACCGCGGAGGGGACCGGAGCACGAGGGGAACGGCCTAGGGGGAGCGCCCTCCCCCCGTCCTCCGCCGACGCCGCGTGTCCCTTTTTAGGGAATTTTTTCCCTCTTGCTGGCTCCAGTGCGGGTGGGGCTGAGACCGAGAGGGAGTTCTCCATTTCGCTGGCTCCTGCCCTGCCCCTGGCAGCCTCCTGCCCCCAAATCTCTTCACCCCCTCTCCAGTACGTATAGATCGCGTAAACAACTCCCTTTCTCCAGCTCTGGGCTCCGCGACCCCCCGGGGGCAGCTCCTTCAGTCTCGTGAGATCGGTGGGGTTAGGGGGAGGGGAAAAAAGAGGGGGTGTCCCGGAGCCCCTTGGCCCGCGTCAGCTCCCCCACCTCGACCTCTCCCTCCCTCTCCCCGCCGCTGGAGCACGAGCTCCAGGGGCCCTGGGTATTTTTAGCGTTGTGACCTGGGCGGCAGCTCTAAGAGCCTTTCCCAGGAATCGGCGTCAGCGCCTCGCTCCTCCGCCGCCAGCCCGCGGCCGCACGGTCTCCCCACACTTCCGTGGCCTTGCCTTGCCCACTTGGGGTTGGGTCTCTCTTCACCTCCGCAGCGCCCGTGGAGCTGGCCAGGGTCTGGGATACGCTGGGTGCAGATTAGATGGGGAAGGCAGTCTGCGGAGGATGACGTCTGATCCTCAAGCTAGAAACTCCCCTGCCTCTGGTGATGGGCTCAGAGCAGAACGCCGGAAAGGAGATGAGTGAATGCACCGGCCTGGGCTGGCCCATAGCCCCAGTGCTCTGGCTGGCTCTCGGCTTCTCAGCCCTAGGGGTCAGGAGGCCTGCTCTGAACTAGACCCAGAACCCACCTTTCCAATTGCTCCTCACTGACTAATGGGGAGATAAGTCAGTGAGATGTGTCCGAGGAGGGGGACGGATAAAGAGCTGTTGGAGTTCAAAGAAAAGATGGTCGTCTCCTAAATATATTGCTCACCTTCACAAACAGGGTCTTATATTTGAGGCAGGTAGGTCGATTATGCCATTTTCAGATGGGGAGACTAAGACCAGAAAGGTAATTTCCTTAGGGGCAGAGCCTAGTCTGGAAGTCAGGTCTCTGTCTTCAGAGCAAGGGTTTGGGGTGGATGGCACACGCGTGTGTACGTGTGTGTGTGTGGAAAGGGAGGGGCGTGGGAGGGGTTGCTTCAGCCTTTGTCTGGGTTTCGAAGGATGGAAAGGGGTGAGCTGCAGCACTGGAGGAAGGGAACCCTCCATCCTAAAATCTCTGTCTCTATCCTATCCTGCCTGGCCTTCTGAGGCAAGCAGGGCCTATTAAGGGGAAAAAGTACCTCCTGGATTTGTGCTGAACCAATCCCTCCAACCCCTCTCAGAAGGATATGATACGGAGAGTTGGGCATTGGCCGTGTTCCCTGAATACAGAGTATCTCTCTTGCAGTGCCTGGAACTGGCATCCCCTTTGTGGAGCTAGGGCAAGCCCCGCCTCTGCATGAGACTTGGTCTGTGGGACACACTTGGTTTCAGGGAAGGGGAAAGAGGTCGCCAAGGGCAGAGGTGTCTAGGCTGGAGCCAGGGGCCCCACTGCTGGGACGCTGGTGCAGTGGGGCTCCCCAAGCCCAGGTCCCCCTTGTCTTGTCTTTGGACTTTGCAGCTGTACTTGTTTTGCTCCTCTACCCCCAGGAGCTGACATGGACCCAAATCCTCGGGCCGCCCTGGAGCGCCAGCAGCTCCGCCTTCGGGAGCGGCAGAAATTCTTCGAGGACATTTTACAGCCAGAGACAGAGTTTGTCTTTCCTCTGTCCCACCTGCATCTCGAGTCACAGAGACGTAAGTCCCAAGTCCTGAGAAGAGGGACTGGGGTAGGGTAGGGAGGATGTCCTGTGGTTCCTGAATCTTGTAGGACTCTGTCCCCTCTAGTTTTCTTGGCCCTCTATGCTTCTAACTTGGGACCTGACATGTAACTATCACTGTCCTGGTGTGCAGCTTGGGTCCTCCTGACTTGCCCACTTCTTGATCCACAGCCCCCATAGGTAGTATCTCATCCATGGAAGTGAATGTGGACACACTGGAGCAAGTAGAACTTATTGACCTTGGGGATCCGGATGCAGCAGATGTATTCTTGCCTTGCGAAGATCCTCCACCAACCCCCCAGTCGTCTGGTATGCCCCTCTGCTTTGGGGACTTCAGTGCTAGTCAGCCAGAGCCGAGTGTCAGGCTCTGAAACGAGGCTGCAAGGCTGGGCTGGGGAAGTATACAAGTAAGGGCTGGAAGTGGCTGTTTCCACCAATGAGACAGCTGCCTGTTCTGATTTTAGGGAAGTTGACCCTGAGGGGGAACTGGGTTACACATCTCCAATCCAAAATTCTGGGAACTGTCTATCTCTTCTTTAATTTTACATTTGTTAAGTTAATATAATTAGTCACTATAATTAAAATAATGTAAAAATGTAATTAAGTAGGTTCCAATACTGTACTAAAGTACTTTACATATATTATCTCAGTCCTTACAATGTCCTGTCAGGGTAGGTGATATAATCCCTATTTTATAAGCAGGAAATTAGGCTCAGAGAAGTCACATTGTAGCCAGAAGATAGATAAACTGGAATTCATGTCTGTCTTACTCCAAAGCCCATATGCTTAACTTGTAAGACAGATATTCTTTTAATTAAAACTACTACTATTTATTGATGGCTTACTATGCCAGACATTTTATAAGCATTCTTAGATTTTATTTCCAAAACCCTTTGGGGATGTAGGTCTCCCTTTTATTTTGCAGAAGAGGAGCAGAGTCCTTGAAAGGGAAAGTGACTTGCTCAAAGCCACTCAGCAGCAATAAGTGATGTAGGTGGAACTTGGACTCTTGCCATTGATTGACCTGACTCTAGAACCCAGACATGGTGTAATGAAGTGGAAGGAGCTGGCAGTCAGGAGATGGTGATCTTAATCCTGGCTCTTTGCTGGACTGGCAAAGTCACTTTGGAAAAGTCTCTGCCCCCCTGTGGGCTTTAGTTACTCCTGGCCAGATAATCTTTAAGAGTTCTCTGAAGGCCTGTTTGTGGCCTGACCAGCTTTTCTCTCTGGGCAGGAGTGGACAACCATTTGGAGGAGCTGAGCCTGCCGGTGCCTACATCAGACAGGACCACATCTAGGACCTCCTCCTCCTCCTCCGACTCCTCCACCAACCTGCATAGCCCAAATCCAAGTGATGACGGAGCAGATACGCCCTTGGCACAGTCGGATGAAGAGGAGGAAAGGGGTGATGGAGGGGCAGAGCCTGGAGCCTGCAGCTAGCAGTGGGCCCCCTGCCTACAGACTGACCACGCTGGCTATTCTCCACATGAGACCGTAGGCCCAGCCGGAGCCTTTCAGGAGAAGACCAGACTCTTTACTTGCAGTAGGCACCAGAGGTGGGAAGGATGGTGGGATTGTGTACCTTTCTAAGAATTAACCCTCTCCTGCTTTACTGCTAATATTTTCCTGCTGCAACCCTCCCACCAGTTTTTGGCTTACTCCTGAGATAAGATTTGCAAATGAGGAGAGAGAAGATGAGGTTGGACAAGATGCCACTGCTTTTCTTAGCACTCTTCCCTCCCCCAAACCATCCTGTAGTCTTCTAATAGTCTCTCAAACAAGTGTCTCTAGATGGATGTGAACTCCTTAATTCATCAAATGAGGTGGTACTCAAGCCATGCTGCCTCCTTACATCCTTTTTGGAACAGAGCACGGTATAAATAATAAACTAATAATAATATGCCAACCATTCCACTTCATTTTTCACATTGCAAAGATATCAAACCCACTATATGTCTTTAGCTCTCTAACCAATCCCATATTCCTGTCACTCATTCATTCTATTTATTCAAGAAATATTTATTGAACACCCACGCTAGGCATCTGGAATACAGTTTTGAGCAAGACAGGCTATACTGTATACTTGCCTTCATAGAGTTTACTGTTTATGGAGGAGAAAATCAAGTAAATACTATAATTCACAGTGTAATAAATAGCATGAGGAGGAACTACTCTGGTACCAGAAAATAGGGACATCTTAACGTAGTTTGTATGGTCACTGAAGAGCTGTTTTTAGCTGAAGGACGATTGGGAGTTAGCCAGACACGGCCCATAAGCCAGGCAGAATGAGCAACTTGTGAAGATGTTAAATGGAGAGAGCATATCCTTGAGGAGCTAAAAAACATTGCGTTTGGCTGAATTGTTGGATTTGAGGAAATGAAAGGAGAGGTAAGACTGACAGAGGTCAGGTTGTAAAATCCGTTGAAGCCTGGATCAGGTTTCAGTTTGACAGCTAGTAAAAGATCATGACTTAAGATATAAAGTTATTTCCTCATATAGAAGTAAGAAGTACAGGGCTACATGAAAGCTCCATCGTTACTCAGCACTGGGCTCCTTTTTTGCTGTTTTGCACATGGCTTGCATTCTTAGCGATACCTCACGTCTAAGGTGGCTGTCAAAGCCCCAGCCATTAAGACCTTGAGACTGGCAGAAAGCAGGAGAGGAAATGGGGGATGGGCAAAGAGGACACAGCCAGTCTATTCCCATTTAGGAATAAATTTTTGGAAGTTCTTTTTTTTCCCCCAAGATGGAGTCTCACTCTGTCACCCAAGCTGGAGTGCAATGGCACGATCTCGGCACACTGCAACCTCTGCCTCCCAGGTTCAAGCAATTCTCATGTCTCAGCCTCCTGAATAGCTGGGACTACAGGCACACAACACCACGCCAGGCTAATTTTTGTATTTTTTAGTAGAGATGGGATTTTATCATATTGGTCAAGCTAGTCTCGAACTCCTGACCTCAAGTGATCCACCTACCTTGGCCTCCCAAAGTGCTGGAATTACAGGCGTGAGCCACTGCACCTGGCCAACCATCCTATAGTCTTCCAGTAGAGTCTCTCAAATTAGTGTCTCTAGATAGACGTGAACTCCTTGGCATGTCAAGTGAGGGGGTACTCCAGCCATTCTGGCTCCTTACATCATTTTTGGAACAGAGGGCTAGTCACCCAGATGGGGAGTTTCAGAAAGGACCAGGTTTGAGAAGAAGGCCATAAATTTGGTTTGGGACATGTTGAGTTTGAGATGTATTTGAGACATCCAAAAGGATATGTTGAGTAGGCCCTTGCACCCATGTGTGTGGAATTTAGATAAGAGGACTGAGCTGGAAAAAGAAAACGATCAGTTCTCAGTGTATAGGTGGTAAGTGAAGCCATGGGTGTGAATGATGGAGAGAATGCCCAGGGAGAGAATGCTGAATGAAAGGAGAGGTTATAGGACCCAGTCTTAAGGAACACCAAATCATTTCTCACATTAAAAGAAAAAAAGTCCACCTCCCTTCATACATTGAACATCACCCATGGGATCAGTGACCTTCAGCCAAAATCCTAAAGCTTTTTGTGCCACCCAAGCCTGAGTGACAAGGCTGCAGTCTTCCTATTGTCCCATCCTGCTCTCACCCCTGCAGGAGGCCAGTGTAAGTATCTGTTCCTAAGTGTTTTTCCTAACACTAGTGAGAAACTTGTGGGAACTCCAGGGAAGTAGGAGTGTCCACCAGCCATTCCCTGTCTCCAGGAAGCTTGTGGAGTGAATACCTTCAGTGCAAAAGCCTCTAGGTCCAAGTTAAGATCATCCACTGAACTGGGCCAGGGCCCAGTCCTCTATTAACTTTTGGGGTTTTTCTGGGTTGCTTATGACCTTGCTGCACACAGAAGACATAATCTCTGTCCTCTTGTGGCTTCTCTCCTTCCTTTAGAGTAGCAAGGTTCTACCTCCTGACTGTGGCTGAGCCATCTCTTGGGCTGCAGCCCACGATCCCAATAGCTTTGCCGTGCAGGGCTTCTCAACTCCCAGGATCACCCCCCTTCCTTCCATGGCAAATGATGACAGGCTAGACTGGCTTGGTTGCCATCAACATGTCAATAAATCTCTTAGTAGCCCAGGCACATAATGCGAAGATTGTGGGGAGCCTGCCTTGGGAGAGAGATTTACAGCCCTCTAGAGAAGTAGAATTGTTTGTGAGCCTATGGGGAGCCTTCAGTTTGGCTGCTATGAGCCCCAGCCCCGCCTGGAAAAGTCTAGTGTCAGCTGAGACCCCAGGACTACTTCCTAGTTGGGACAATAACCTTTTCTCCTGCCAAACCACAGGGGCTTGGCTGGCCTTCAGAACCATCATCTCCAGCTGACTGTTTTTTGTTTCTTTGGTTTTTTAAAAAAACTTATGGGGGTTTCAAACGTACAACAAATATGGAAAGAAAAATATCCCGTGTTCTCATCATACAGCTTTAAAAGTAATCAAAATAGTACCAAGATTATATCATCTATCCGCCACATATTTTTAGGGGAAAGACATTTATGATAACTCTTGAAAGAAAAAGTAGATTATAAAACACCATATTCAATATGGTCACTTGTTAAAAAAATGATAATCTTCAGATTCACCATTTGATTATAGTGTTACATTAAAGTTAAACCATGGTTTATGCCAGCCCAGAGCCTAGCTGTCTGGTTTTTGAGGCCACACAGTGCCTTTGGAGATGGGAGGATGATCTGGAGCCAACTCTAAGTCAAGGAGCCCAGCTTTCAGTCTCCAAGCCACAGCGTGGCTTCTGATATTTGCACAGACTTGTCATAGGGTGGACATCCTGACACACTTCAGAAAGGAGGAGCTCAGAAAAAGTTTCCCTAGAAGGCTCACATTGTAGCAACCCCAGGAGTGCACAGAACTTGACACTGAACAGCATGGCAGATTAGAGAAAATACAGAACTGTGCTAAGATGTCATCTTGTTTGTTCATTCATTCACACATTACTGAGCACCTACTATGTGATAGTCACCTTGCTTAGGCAACAGAAATACTAAGGTGACCATGAGCTCTTCCAGGAGCAGACATAGCCACAGATAATGGAAACAATGTGATGAGGGATGTAGCAGAAATACACAAAGCCTGTAGACCACTAGAGGAGGAGAAGGTAAGTCTTCACTAGAGGTAGCTGGGTCCTGAATGATGGAGACAGGCAATTTCAAAAGGAAAACACAGAAGTACAAAATAATCATAATGATGGCAGCTACCTTTAAAAAATTATTATTTTGAGGTTTGACAGTGTATAGTCCTAGCTCCATCACTCATTGTGATCTTTATTATCTTAGTTTCTGTACTTCTTACCTACTTCTTAAAAATAACACTCAAGCAACCCTATCACCTAGGCACTATTACCTACATTTACATATTAGTGCCTAGGTGGTAGGGTTGAGTGTTACTATTAAGCACTTGCTACATTCCATATCCTACATGTACATAATTTCTCATCTTAACAACAACCTTGAAAGTAGGTTTCTTCATTATACAAATGAAGAAAAGTGACACTTGGGTTGATCATGCTCACATGGATTAAAGGCTGGCATAGGGATTTGGACTCCTGTCTTTCTGACATCTAAGTCCATGGCCTTCCTAATATTTCATGTCTAATGGGGCAAGAACACTGAATGTAGGTAGAATGAAGACATAATGAGATAAAGACATCTTTCTGACATTTCCTTTTTGGAAATGCCTGGTTGGTTGGGGCATATCTTGGCAGACCTACCTGACACCAAATTTGGCTCTTTCTAGAAGTGTGGCCATGAGTTTTACCAAGACACTGTTCGTGAAATCCTTCATGAATGTGTTTCCCACAGGGCAGATGGAAAAACTAAAGCATGAATTTAACTTTGGAACTCCTAAAACTCAATAAAAAGACATGCCCGTAAACAAAGGGGTGAGAGGGCACAGAAGACTTTAACAGACCTTTCACAAAAATAAAAATTAAAATTAAATTAAAAATAAATGGCCAATAAGCACATGAACAGATGCTTAACATTTTTAGTTACCAGGGAAATGCAAATGAAAACCACAATGAGCAGTCACTACATACATACCCAAGTGGTCAAAACTAAAAAGTACAAAAAGTTAGAAACTTCAAATGCCGACCAGGATGTGGAGCAATGGGAACCCACAGTTTATGGAAACATAAAATGATACATTTTGGAGAAAGGTCTGACAGTTTCTTATAAAATTAAACATATACCTGCTCTTTGACCCAGCAATTCCACTCTTAAATACCTGGCCAAAGGATATGAGAAATATATGTCTACAAAGGAACTTGCACAGACAGCAGCCTTGTTCATAATAACCAAAAACTTTAAAGCTGCCCATCAACAGTTGAATGGATAAATTCATAATACTACATAGTAATAAAAAGAATTGTGGATACATGCAGGAACATGGATGATTCTCAAAAACATTCTTCCTATGAGAAAAAAAAAAGCCTTACACAGTATACATACTGTATGATTTCCTTTATATTTAGTTCTGGAACAGATTGTGGGAAAAAATCAGAATAGTAGTTGCCTCTGGAAGGTGGTAGAGGAGCAGGGATTGACTAGGAAAGGGTATTGGCCAATTTTCTGGGGTTTTAGGAATGTTTGGTATCATGACAGGAGTTCAGGTTACATAGGTGTGTGCATTTGTCAAAACTCAGTCAATGTGTACTTTGGATTTCTGCATTTCACTGTATGTGAATTTTACATCAAAAGAAAAATACAATCAAATACTGAACTCTAGTTAATTATATGCATGCTGAACTACTTAAAGGAAAGTTTACTAATGTCTGCATAAGATGGGATGATGGATGTATAGAAAAATATGTGGTAAAGTACAAGTATAGTAAAATGTGAATAGTAGAATCTAGGTGGTGGAAAACGGGTGCTCATTCTTTCAATTTTGTTTGAACATTTTCGTAATAAAAGAACCACTTATTTGGGGGGTTTGCAGCAAATAGAGACACTAGAAGCTAAGAGGGGCAGGAAGTTCCTCTTACTTTGGGAAATGCAAATTAAAACCACAATGGTTTTCCCAAAAGTAACTGACCTTTTTCAGTCAATGTTTCCTCAACTATCAGATGGGTAAAATGGCAGTGGGGGAGCTCCATATTATTAAGCATTTCCTGGTGGGTGGAAACGTCTTGAACTGGGTGCGGCCTCAAGCTGGTTACTCGCGCTGCCTACTCCCTCTCGTGTCCTCGCAATACCCCGCTTAGACCCACCAGCTCGGAGGCAATCTTCGCGACCTGCGCAGGCGGTCGCTCTGATAACCGCATCCCGGTTTCCGGGACGGCACCGGAAGTCACTTCTCATACGCCTTTCCTATTGGATACCGGCTTTTCATGGGGCCGAGCGCCGCTGGGTAGGCGGAAGTAGCCGCAGGCATGGCGGCGGCTATGCCGCTTGCTCTGCTCGTCGTGCTGCTCCTGGGGCGCAGAGGCTGGTGCCTTGCAGAACCCCCACGCGACAGCCTGCGAGAGGAACTTGTCATCACCCCACTGCCTTCCGGGGACGTAGCTGCCACATTCCAGTTCCGCACGCGCTGGGATTCGGAGCTTCAGCGGGAAGGAGGTGAGGGCGCGAGATCTGACCAGATAAAGACTTCCGTGGTGCCTGCTGGCTGACCATAGGATGGAGGCAAACTTTGGGGGCGGGGCCTAATTCCTGGGTGGAGTTCTGGATCCTGGATGTAGACCCCGACGAGGTGGGGATCGTCACTCACCTGCTCCCTTTTCCACAGTGTCTCATTACAGGCTCTTTCCCAAAGCCCTGGGGCAGCTGATCTCCAAGTATTCTCTACGGGAGCTGCACCTGTCATTCACACAAGGCTTTTGGAGGACCCGATACTGGGGACCACCCTTCCTGCAGGCCCCATCAGGTGCAGAGCTCTGGGTCTGGTTCCAAGACACTGTCACTGAGTGAGTGCACACTTTGGGCCCCATTGCAGGCCATGGAGGGAATGTGGCTGGGAAGGTGTTGTCATCCTACCACTGCTCTTGGGGACAGCATTTCCAGTAGGCAGCGATTCCATGGGGGTAGAGCTGGCACTGGAAGTAAGAAATGTTAGCACAGATGAATAAATTTCCCAATCCTAAAACTTTCAGACCTGAAATAGCACATGCATATCCCTGGAGAGGCAAATAGCAAACAGTTCATGCTTATTTGGAGGTAAGGCAGTAGAAAACTGGCAACTGGGCCGGGCGCGGTGGCTCAAGCCTGTAATCCCAGCACTTTGGGAGGCCGAGACGGGCGGATCATGAGGTCAGAAGATCGAGACCATCCTGGCTAACACGGTGAAACCCCGTCTCTACTAAAACTACAAAAAAACTAGCCGGGCGAGGTGGCGGGCGCCTGTAGTCCCAGCTACTCGGGAGGCTGAGGCAGGAGAATGGCATGAACCCGGGAGGCGGAGCTTGCAGTGAGCTGAGATCTGGCCACTGCACTCCAGCCTGGGCGACAGAGCGAGACTCTGTCTCAAAAAAAAAAGAAAAAAGAAAACTGGCAACTGGATAACCTTTTAAAAGGCATTCATTAATATTTTTTAAATGATAATAAATACCACAAAGCCCAACCATAACATATCTGTGGGTTACAACTGGCCAACAGGATGCTACATCACAGTGTTAGAGAAACTGCTTTTGTTTGGGAGGGGGCAGGTCTAGTTACTGTGCCTGTACTACAAACCACTATTTCCTAGTGGCTGCTGTGGCTATCCTGTTTAGAATAGAACTTTTCTGTGCAGTGGTTGCAAGCATGTCTACATGGGCCACATAGGTAAGAAATGAATAAAGGTATTTCAAAAATTGACAAACACAGGAATGAGAAATATATCTCATTCTCCTCTTATTCCCACTATAAGAAATCAATAGTACAAGTATGATATAACAAGTTTTAGGGCAATAAAAGGGAGCAGCAGGAATTGTGGCAGACTAGAGAGTTTGTGCAACATTCTAGGGAGGACAGCTCTGCCACTCAGCTTCTATGGATTGTTGCCATGTGGGAATAGAGGCCTAATGTGCTCAGACTCAAATGTTTCAATAAAAATGTTTTGCAGAAACAAGGTCTCACTCTATTGCCCAGACTGGTCTCAAACTCCTGGGTTTAAGTGATCCTCCTGTCTCAGCCTCCCAAAGTGTTGGGATTACAGGCAAGAGCCACCACACCTGGCCTCATTTTTCAAGAGATGCCAGAAATCTGGAATTTAATGTGAAAATTACCAAATTCAAATATCAGCAAGTAATTTAAAAAATTTTAAAGTGCTGTGCGGGTCAATGTTGTCCTTACCAAATGAAGCATGTTTATGGTTTGGGTAGAGTTTTCAGGCTTCAAGTTTGCCATTTTTATTTGACGCTTAAGGACTGGAGCAGTTGAAAACCTCTGTACATAGAATTATCAAAAGCCCCCGGACAACACTAAGGAATAAGGAATAAGCAGTGACTCCCTAGCTTGCCAAGACTTTCTCTCTTGCCTCAACTCTGGCTCCCCTACCCTTTCCTGTCTACTCTGCTGTCACTGTCTCCCCTCAGCCCATAATTGCCTGAAATGTGGAGCTAATGCTTAGAATTATTTCTAGTGCTTATTAAGTTTTATGGCTTTCTATTACTGAGAGCAAATCTCTTTTGATATTTCTCCAAGAAAAGAACATCTAATTTAATTTGATGTTTTTATGAAATCCTAGAACAGTTGTTTTTCCCACGTTCAGTGAGCTTTTTTGGATATAAGACTTCTCACGATGATAACAGAACCAGGACTTACCTTTATTCCCAGAGTATACACAGGGCAGTGTGCATTGTTTTGCCCAGCCAAGCACATTCAAGGAAGATCCGTGAGGTCATTTCAGCTCTGATATATGAGGCGCTTTCCATGGTGTCAGGGGAAGCACGTAGATGACCCAGACTGGTCCTTGTCCTCAAGTTGCTTACAGCCTAGTTAGGGAGAAAAGGTGCTCAGGACACGATGCTGCTGCCACCTAGCCATCTCCCAGGAGGGACCTAGTAGGAGACTTGGATGGTCAAAACCATGACTGCACAGAGGAGGCTGTGCTTAAGGAGGGCAGGAAAGGCTTCCTGGAGAGGGGGGAAGAACCGGAGCCGGATCGTGAAGGTAGGCAGAAAGAAGTGAGCAAAGGCTTGCAAGGAAGGAAGAATCACCTGAGCAGAGACCCATGGGGACGCAGAGATGTCCAGAGGACAGTGAGGAAGAAGGGGCTGAGTAGGATGAGACCCAGCAAGTGGGCTGGGTGGGGGCAGCAGTGTTCCAGCTCCATCAACTGGCCTGTCTAATAGTTAAGAATACAGCCTCCACCTACCATAGGTTTAGCAGCCAGTTGTGGGCTCTAAAAGAGGGAGCAGAGATAGCCCCAGGACAGTGAGTGGATTTGTGTCTCTATCCAGTGTGGATAAATCTTGGAAGGAGCTCAGTAATGTCCTCTCAGGGATCTTCTGCGCCTCTCTCAACTTCATCGACTCCACCAACACGGTCACTCCCACTGCCTCCTTCAAACCCCTGGGTCTGGCCAATGGTGAGATAACCCCTACAGCCCTTTCCTTCTTCCTCTTACCTCCTGCCCAGACCTTTGCCTCCTTTTCCCTCAGTTTCCTGCTTCCTCAGCCTGGGCTAGATCCTAAGTCCCCTGTGTGTGCAGGCCCCCAATACCGTGCCATCTCTGCATGCTTTCTCCCAAGGAGAGAAAGGAGTCCCACTCCCAGTTGGGACTGTCCAGACTGTGGTGCTAGAGGTGGTGTGGGGAGCAGGAGGGTCATTCCCATCTCTGGAGTGTGGATCCTGAGGGGTCAGAGCCCAAGGCCCACCCCAGACAGACCTCTGTCTCCCTCAGACACTGACCACTACTTTCTGCGCTATGCTGTGCTGCCGCGGGAGGTGGTCTGCACTGAAAACCTCACCCCCTGGAAGAAGCTCTTGCCCTGTAGTTCCAAGGTGAGGCCGCACAGCCTGGCAGCCGGGGGCATGTATAGAGAACCTGCGCCCCATGTCAAGTGCTCCATACAGGGCTTCTCTTCTCTTATCTCTTTCTGTCTCCTCCAGGCAGGCCTCTCTGTGCTGCTGAAGGCGGATCGCTTGTTCCACACCAGCTACCACTCCCAGGCAGTGCATATCCGCCCTGTTTGCAGAGTAAGTCACGGGGAGTAGAGGAAGCTGCCATCCAGGGGCTCAGAGAAGGTACATGTAAAGCATGTGGCCAGTGTCTGGCTTGGGCTGAGTGAGTACTGAGTGGTACATGTGATGATGGTTATTCAGGGCATTGGCCAAGCACCAAGAAAACAGTGGTTGCCTAGCAAGGCCTGAATAAATATTTGTCATGGAAAATAGTGGTTCAGAACAATAGCTATGCGGGTGCAATTGCTAGCTCAGTCACTTGCCAGCTGGCGTAACCTCGGGTGAATCATTTCATTCCCCTGAGCCTGGTTTCCCACCCTGTCACATGACATTGATAGTAGAATCCACTCGTAGGGTTGTTGTGATAGTTTATCAAACTGATGCACATAAAGCTGTCAGCACAGGGTCTGGCATGGGGTCAAGTGCTCAGGAGTGGGTGGTAGCAAATCGATGGATGTGACGATACATAGATGAGGGATTGAGTTGGAGTAGGTCTTTTTTGGGGCTGTGTGGTTGGGTGAGAGTGATACCCCCTCACTGCTGCCATCTGGCCCTTGTGATAGAATGCACGCTGTACTAGCATCTCCTGGGAGCTGAGGCAGACCCTGTCAGTTGTATTTGATGCCTTCATCACGGGGCAGGGGAAGAAAGGTAAGTTACCTTGGCAACTCATCTCTACCCACCATGCCAGCCCTGCCTTATCTATGTGGACTAGGCCTAGGCCTGGCCCCTGCTCAGCCCTGCTCTCTCTTTCTCAGACTGGTCCCTCTTCCGGATGTTCTCCCGAACCCTCACAGAGCCCTGCCCCCTGGCTTCAGAGAGCCGAGTCTATGTGGACATCACCAACTACAACCAGGTAACAAGGTCTCCAGCCACACACACAAACACATCCCTGGGCCCCAAGACCAGCCTGCCCGCTCTGCTTGCTTCTTAGCCCTGCCTTTGTGTCCCCAGGACAACGAGACATTAGAGGTGAACCCACCCCCGACCACTACCTATCAGGACGTCATCCTGGGCACTCGGAAGATCTATGCCATCTATGACTTGCTTGACACCGCCATGATCAACAACTCTCGAAACCTCAACATCCAGCTCAAGTGGAAGAGACCCCCAGAGAATGGTGAGTGGGTGGATGGTTGGACTGCCGGGTTGCAACGGCTACAGAGTAAAGACTCACAATCCCATGTCTTTGCCGTAAGATGACAGGGTTGTATTTAGACCAGATCTCCGGAGTCATTTGCTGCTGACTCGAGCGCTTCCAAGCTCTGTGATTTTGGGTAGGTTCCTAAACTCCCCAAGCTTCAGCATCCACTTCTGAAAAATAAAGAGTATACTCAGTGAATTGGATGAGATGATGTAAAAAATGGAGTTAGTTCATGCATTTGCTTAATCAACCAAATACTTTTGAATTCATACTAAGTGCCAGGCATAGAGTGTTGAATAGGACAGAGGACACTGCACTCAAGAAATACAATGTCTACTAGTTGAGGGCAGGTGTCAGTTAATTACAGTTGTAGTTCAGTTCCCTTACCAAGGGAAAGAGCAGAATATCCTGAGAGGACCTGGTTTGGGTTCGAAGGGGGCACGGTGTTCATCACATAAGCACTTTAATACTAGCAACCTATTGTCATCATTGCTTGTTGGCTGGGGAAGACAGGGATGATTCCAGAACCCAGATTGCCCAGTTTCAGTGGCAGGACTGTTCCCCCATCTACTCATTGGCTTGGGACTCTGAACATGGCCTGGGCAGTTGGGGTGGGGAGTGACTCTTACCTTTGGCAGCTGTTAACTTGTTGATATTTCTTTACACAGAGGCCCCCCCAGTGCCCTTCCTGCATGCCCAGCGGTATGTGAGCGGCTATGGGCTGCAGAAGGGGGAGCTGAGCACACTGCTGTACAACACCCACCCATACCGGGCCTTCCCAGTGCTGCTGCTGGACACCGTACCCTGGTATCTGCGGCTGTATGTGCACACCCTCACCATCACCTCCAAGGGCAAGGAGAACAAACCAAGTGAGGACCTGAGTCCTGAACCAGGCCCCCAGCCCACGCTTTCATGCCCTCTCCAGGTCCCCCAAACTCTCATTTCCCTTGGTAGTTCCTGAAGTACCTCGGAAAAGCGACACAGGCATAAAGAGTAAGGAATAGTTTCAAAACTGGAACAGGAGCCTCACTGTGCCAGGTTCAGAAGTCATTTATAAAACGGAAATCATTAAAACACATAATACTGGTGATTCTTAATAGGACTGTACAAGGACAGTAGGTTCCTTTTTCACTTACTTTTGCCCCCTTTCTGGAGCGTTGGGTTTTGTGATGATTCATAGACTCTTTAAGGTAGGGAGAGGGCTTGGCAATGTTGGGCTTTTGAAGCTAGGAAGATAGCAGAGCTGGAGTAGATGGTGTTTTGCTTCCTTGGGAGGGGTAAAGAGGTACAGTTAATTAAATTTTTTTTTAAATTTTTATTTTTATTAAAATTTATTTTTCTAAAGAGAAGATAATATTAGTGCTTCCTATTAGGTGCCAGGCATAGTACTAAAACACTTGCTTTTCTTTTGTGTAGGGGGAGACTAGTAGTAAAGTAAAAGACCCCTGAGGAAGAGGTTGTACCATATCCCAAACAGCCAAACTTAAAAACCTTTCAGTACTTTCATTGAGTCCTATGTTTTCAAACCTATGGTGAATAGTTTCACTTATTTTCAGCACCCATTATTTGTACCACCTTCAAAATCTCTATTTCAGATATCCTAGCTGTGTATTCTGTAGGTTTTTCTGTTATTATTATTTTAAAACTTCTCCTTTGGAAAATTTCAACCCAAACCCAAACAGAATAGTGTAATAATCCCCTGTACCCAACCCTGCAGCTTTTTTTTTTTTTTTTAAGGAGACAAGCTGTCATTCTGTCACCCAGGCTGTAGTGTAGTGGCATGATCGTGGCTCATTGCAGTCTCAGACTCCTGGGCTCAAGCAGTCCTCCTACCTCAGCTTCTCCAGGGCTATAGGCGTGAATCACCATGCCTTTAATTTTTTCATAGAGACAGGGTCTTGTTATGTTACACAGGCTGGTCTCAAACTCCTGGCCTCAGGCGATTCTCCTGCCTTGGCCTCCTAAAGTGCTAGGATTATAGGTGTAAGCCACTGCCTGCTGGTGTATCTTAAAGCAAATCTTAGACATTGCATCAATTAACCTTTAAATACTTCAAGGATTTTTAAAAATGTAACCATATCATTACCACTTCTGTTTTCCCCTGTGGTCTTAAACATGTCTTTTTATATTTGGTTTGTTTAAATTGGGATAAACAAGGTTCTCACATTGCATTTGCTTTATCCTAAGTTCTTCTCTTGGGTGGGCACAGTGGTGCACACCTGTAATCTCAGCACTTTGGGAGGCCAACATGGAAGGACCACCTGAGTCCAGGAGTTCAAAACCAGCCTGGACAACATCGTGAGACCCCTGACTTCTACAAATTTTTTTTTTTTTTGAGATGGAGCCTCATTCTGTCACCTAGGCTGGAGTGCAGTGGCGCAATCTTGGCTCACTGCAACCTCCACCTTCTGAGTTCAAGCGATTCTGCTGCCTCAGCTTCCCAAGTAGCTCAGACTACAGGCACGTGCCACCACGCCTGTCTAATTTTTTATATTTTTAGTAGAGATGGGGTTTCACTGTGTTAGCCAGGATGATCTCAATCTCCTGACCTCATGATCTGCCCACCTTGGCCTCCCAAAGTGCTGGGATAAAAAAAAAAAAAAATTGTTTTTAATTAGCTGGGGGTGGTGTCGCACGCCTGTAGTCCCAGCTACTCAAGAGGCTGAGGTGGGAGGATCACTTGAATCCAGGAGATCAAGGCTATAGTGAGCCATGATCATACTACTGCACTTCAGCATGGACGACAGTGTGAGACCCTGTGAGACCCTGTCACCAAAAAAAAAAAAAAAAAGAATTTCTTTTTCTTTAAAATTAATAGACTATTCTTAGAGCAGTTTTAGGTTACAGAAAAACTGAGCACAAAGCACAGAGTACCCATATACTCCCTGTCTCCACACCCAGACTTTCCCTTATTATAAACGCCTTGCTTTTGGTGTGGTACTCTTCAGTCTCTTGTCATCTGTAGCAGGGCCCATGCCTTTTTTTTTTTTTTTTTTTTTTTAAATGCCAATTATTTTGTTGAAGGAACTGGGTCATTTGTTGTATAGAATGTTCTACATTCTGGATTTGTCCTTGTGCTGGTGTTTAACACGGTCCTCCATCTCCTATATTTCTTGTGTATTGGTGGTTAGATTTAGAAACCTGATTAGATTCATGTCCCACATTTTTGGCAAGAACAATTCCCAGGTGGCTCTGTGAACTTCTTGCACCACATCAGGCACTTGGTGTCTGGTGCCCCAGTTTTAGTGATGTGAAGATTGATTAGCAGTCTGCAGCACCCCTAACAACCTCTCTTGACCGCATCCTAGGATCACTGTCCTGGAAACATCCTCTCCCTTTTCTTAGCCCCTGCTTTCTTCCCTAGCCTGCCTGGCTTCTACGCTCCCAAGCCCACCTTCTAGGCACCCAGATTGAGGCTCCATGGCAAGCAGCAGGGACAGGGGCAGCAGGTAGCCTGACCCCAGGAAAGAAGTATGGGTGACCCTTGCATGTCTCCAGGTTACATCCACTACCAGCCTGCCCAGGACCGGCTGCAACCTCACCTCCTGGAGATGCTGATTCAGCTGCCGGCCAACTCAGTCACCAAGGTTTCCATCCAGTTTGAGCGGGCGCTGCTGAAGTGGACCGAATACACCCCAGATCCTAACCATGGCTTCTATGTCAGGTGGGCTCCACCCCCACAGGCCACCTCTCATCCCACTGACCTACCCTCTCTGCTGCTTACCCCTTGGTAGGGGAGCTAGGTGGGAACATGGGCCATCTCTCTGCTTCTCTGTAGCCCATCTGTCCTCAGCGCCCTTGTGCCCAGCGTGGTAGCAGCCAAGCCAGTGGACTGGGAAGAGAGTCCCCTCTTCAACAGCCTGTAAGTGTGATCACACTCACTGATAACACATCCTCAGCTGCCTGCTGGGCCTTAACACAGGTGACCAGGCTCCTGCAGGGGAGTTCAGGGTAGATGTTACATCTTCCAAAGAGATTTGTAGATTTAATTCAGTCTTAATAAAAATCCTGGCAGTCTGAAATTTGTGAAGACTTTATAAAATTATTTTAAAGTGCTTCTAGAAGAATATTTTTACTTATAGCCTACATTTACTCCTTGATGCTCCTAAATATTTAATCAAGCACTTATCAAAGTGCTAAGTGCTTCTGAGAGCACTGGGTGTACAAGATTAAACAAAACAGACTTGGCCCTGGCCTCCCTTTGCTTACAGTCTAGAGGGAGAATTCTGGTCTAGAAAGTAATGGTGTCAGAGGTGGGGTAGGAATTGATTTACTGGGTTATCTAGGAGGGCTTCATTGAGGAGGTGGCATTTAGGCTGAAATTAGGCTAAGAAAGAGGCAACCAAGCAAAGGCAGGGCCCCTTTCCTCCACTTCAACACCAGGCTTCTCTTTCTCCCCTCCCCCCCTCCCCCCCTCCCCCCCTCCCTCCCTCTCCCCTTCTCCCTCCCTCTCCCCTCCTCCCTCCCTCCCTCCTTCCTTCCTTCCTTCCTTCTTTCTTTCTTATTTTTTATTTTACTTTAAGTTCTGGGACACAGGTGCAGAACGTGCAGGTTTGTTACATAGGTATACATGTGCCATGGTGGTTTGCCGCACCCATCAACCCATCATCTAGGTTTTAAGCCCCACATGCATTAGGTATTTGTCCTAATGCTCTCCCTCCTCTTGCCGCCCACCTACTGCTCTCCTTTTATCAGGTTTATAAATTGAGCTATGCCTTCTGTTGAAAGGTTTTGAGCCTAAGAGAACATTGGAAACACTGTGTTGCATTGCCCAGTACTGCCGGAATGAGGATGGGGTGAGATGGGGAGGAGCAGCCAGTCCTGTCTCACCGCTCTTCCCCTGACCCCAGGTTCCCAGTCTCCGATGGCTCTAACTACTTTGTGCGGCTCTACACGGAGCCGCTGCTGGTGAACCTGCCGACACCTGACTTCAGCATGCCCTACAACGTGATCTGCCTCACGTGTACTGTGGTGGCCGTGTGCTATGGCTCCTTCTACAATCTCCTCACCCGAACCTTCCACATCGAGGAGCCCCGCACAGGTGGCCTGGCCAAGCGGCTGGCCAACCTCATCCGGCGTGCCCGAGGTGTCCCCCCACTCTGATTGTTGCCCTTTCCAGCAGCTGCAGCTGCTGTTTCTCTGGGGAGGGGAGCCCATGGGCTCTTTCTGCCACTTGCTCTCCTTGGAGTTGGCTTTTTGAACCAAAGTTCCCTGGACCAGGTCAGGGCCTACAGCTGTGCTGTCCAGTACAGGAGCCACAAGCCAAATGTGGCATTTGAATTTGAATTAACTTAAATTAGAAATTCATTTCCCCACCTGTAGTGGCCAGCTCTGTATTGAGGTGCTCAATAAGCAAAAGTGGGCAGTGGCTGCTGTATTGGACAGCACAGAAAAAGACTTCACTGCAGAAAGGTTGGGTGGCAGCGCTGGCCAAGGTGATGGGGTGTGCTGCAGGGTATGTGTCACTGTGTGGTGGATGGAGTTTACTGTTTGTGGAATAAAAACGGCTGTTTCCTTGATTCTTTGCCTCTTGTCCTTGAGTCCTGGGAAGAGCTGGGGACTGGGGATTGTTTGCTGGGTACCTGAACAGTACCTCCTGCCCTATGCCCGCAACCCTCTCCACAAAACAGAAAACAAAACAAAAAGAAAACCCTACCTCCTCCCACCTGGCTGGAAATTTCTTCTCCTGATTTGCTCCCCCGTCCTCCCCATCCCCATCTGATTGTGATTCCCAGAACTCCCTGGGTGGTTTGGGAGTGTTTCTGAAAGCATAATCCATGACCGTGGAAATGAATCATCCTACTTCTTGGGGGCCTTGAGAGCCAGTCCCCATCAGCAAGGGTAGAGTGGAGGGGCGGGAGAGCTCTGGGTGGTGGGTCTCTAACTGTAGTGTGCATCAGAGTCACTGGGGGCACCTGTGAAAATGATGTAGGTTCCTAGGGTCCAGATCCTACTAATTCAGTTGGTCTGGGTATGGCTCAGCCTTTGACTTTTTAGCAGGCTCCTCAGGAGCTCGTGCTGTGCGCCGTCCTCAGACCACCCCAGGCTTTGAAGCCAGGCTCATTGGATTGAAGCCCGCCCCGCCCACCTCCGTTGCTGGTTACATAACCCTGGATTCCTATAAAACAAGCCTTTAGGCGGGTGCCTCCCACTGCCCTCATCTTCTATCTTTTCCTCTGGCACACTTGGCATCAACTGTGTGTTATTTGCAGTTCCCCCCACCTCCCACCCCACTCAGTTCTCCCATCATAGTGGTTTGGCCTAGAATGCCCTATTCCACCAACCATGCACACCTCTCCACTGCCTGGTTCCCTCTTACAAAACCAGATGAGGCTGGCCGGGCGCAGTGGCTCATGCCTGTAATCCCAGCACTTTGGGAAGCCGAGGTGGGCGGATCACGAGGTTAAGAAATCAAGACCATCCTGGCCAACATGGTGAAACCCCATCTCTACTAAAAATACAAAAAAAAATTTAGCTGGCCTGGTGGCGCACGTCTGTAGTCCCAGCTACTCAGGAGGCTGAGGCAGGAGAATCACTTGAACCCGGGAGGCAGAGGTTGCAGTGAACCAGGATTGTGCCACTGCACTCCATCACTCTCTCTCTCTCTCTCTCTCTCACACACACACACACACACACACACACACACACACACACCAGATAAGAGAATTTGCTCCCTCCAGGAAGTTTCCCTTGACGTGCCAGGCTGCTGTCCATGCCCCACGCCTGCTGTTTTCAGATTGCCTTGGACTTGCACATGTTCCTTGTCCTGGCTGCTGTCCCTTCACTTCCACCAGATGGTGTGCTTCCTGGAGGCACAGGTTCTGTCTTTCATTAAGACTTGACCCATCTCAGGACATGTGAGTTCTCAATCAGCGAATGCTAAATGTGTTAACTGGGTATGGGCTATTCTGGTTTGGGATCTGGGATCCAAGATAGGGATGAGCAAGGGGCACTCTAGAAGCTCCACATGTGTGAGTGCAGCAGTCTTAACACAGTGGTACCGGTGTCTGTAGCCAGCATAGATGGGCTGTGTAGGCTCCTTGAAGGGTTTTAGGAGCCCTCAGCACATGCGGGTGGTGTGTGTGCATATGTAGGAAGGAAAGGTGGTGAGCTAGTCTAGACCATGGGCAAAGGCAATTTGTTCAAGGTGCTTTTACTTGAGTTTACTTCCAAAGCAGTAAAGAAGCAGACTGTAAATGAGACAGGAACGCAGGTGGGTAGATACACAAAGCTAAGTGGTCTGTGTAGTGTGCCTAGCGTGGGATGCAGCATGCATAGCATGGAGTGTCTGCCAAGTCAGAAGAGCACAGAGTTGTGGCCTGGTTCTATTTTATACCCGCAGTCCTGTCAGTACCTAGAAACAGCCTCCACTACCACGCCACATGTAACCTATGCTCTGGCAACACCCACATATTTCTAGATCAGACCTCCTCCCGGATCTTGGATTCATTTACCTAACTGTCTACTTGCTTACTCCATTTGGATGTCTCAAGACATCTCAAATTGAATATCTCCAAACCCAAGCTGATGTGCTCCACCCCACCCCAAACGTGCCCATCCATAGTCGCCTCATCTCTGTTAAAGGTAACTCGTATCTTTCCAGGCACCCAGGTCAAATACCTTTGAGTCATCCTTGGTTCTCTCTCACATCCTGTTTGCACCGTACCTTCAGAATAAATCCAGAATCCCACCCCTTTCTACCACCTCCACTATTAAGTTATCAGTGAGGTTTTCCCTGGCCATACCCTATTTCAAATTGCTAACCTAGCATGTTAGATTCACCTGGGGAACTGAAAAAATCCTGATGCCCACACTTTACCCAAACCAGTTACATCAGAATTTAAGGTGGGACTCACAGAGTCTTCAAGTGATACCAATGTGTAGCCAAGCTTAAGAACTTGGTCTTATTTTTAAAGTAGTATGAAAACTTACTTTCTCTCCTAAGCATTCTAACAATGGGTACTTTTTGGAATAAGACTATGTAAAACAGGGAACTCACTTTTAACTTTATAACAATTTATGTATTGTTTGTCTTTTTAAGACAAAAATATATGTTGGGTTTATAATAAAAATTTGGGTCGGGCGTGGTGGCTCACGCCACTCCCAGCACTTTGGGAAGCCAAGGTGGGTGGATCATTTGAGGTCAGGAGTTCGAGACCAACCTAGCCAACATGGTGAAACCCTGCGTCTACTAAAAATACAAAAATTGGCCGGGCGTGATGGCGGGTGCCTATAGTCCCAGCTACTCGGGAGGCTGAGGCAGGAGAATTGCTTGAATCCGGGAGGTGGAGGTTGCAGTGAGCCGAGATCAGGCCACTGCACTCCAGCCTGGGTGACAGAGCGAGACTCCATCTCTAAATAATAATAATAATAATAATAATAATAATAATAATAATAATATAATTTGGTGAAGATTTAATTAAATCAAACTGGCATCTGGGAGGTCTGGCCCCAGGTCTTCCCCCAGACTGAATGGTGACCACAGGTGAGCCCTTTCAATATCTGGGCCTTGGATTCCCCCTGAGGTGAAAGTGATCGGGTAGCCTGTTGGAGTCAGCCCTGTCCCATAGGCTATGGGTCTCAGGGTCCTCTTTCCCAATAACACCTCAGCTCACTTGGGGTATTTTCTGAGCTGGTCATGCCCACCAGGCAGATGGCAAAGCAGGGCACAGAAGCTGCTGAGCTCCATGGTGCCAAGGGCTGAGAGTTCTAAGCCAGGGCTGGGAGGCTGGAACTTATACCTGCAGAAAAAAAGTGTCCCTATTTCCATAGGCCAAAGAAAGTATCTTGTTTTTGATTTCTTGGAAGAGGAAGCACACTGGGCAAGAGGCATGAGCCGGGATGAAGTGGACTCCTCGTCTGGAGGTGGTGCCACATACCTTAGAGGGGCTCGTGGGAGCTACTGAGAATGTCCCCTAAGTCAGTATTCCTGCCTCATCTGAAATGCCAGTCTTCAGCCTCATCTACCGCACACTTGAGTCCATGAGATTTTAGAGTGGTAAGTGACCTTTGGGGTCTCAGTTTTCCTATCTGTAAAGGGAGTGGGCTGGACAATGAACAGCTGTTCTCCATTCTTTTGTTATTGGTTCCCATCCAGAGCCTCCCAGCTAGTTGTCTCAACATCCCAGGGGAGAAAGCATAGCTCTTTGTCCATTGGTTTATTTATTCAATTTAGGAATAATGAGTTTATTGTTTTATATGAATAACCATACTTATTTTAAAAGATCAAACTAAACTAAATAGTACAAACAAGTGAAATCTCTCCCCAAAGTCTACTATGGTGCTGTGCAACAGAAATATAATACAAACCACACATCGAATTTTAAATTTCCCAGTAGCTATTCTAAAAAGTAAAAATAGGGGCCAGGCACAGTGGTTCATGCCTGTAATCCCAGCACTTTGAGAGGCTGAAGTGGGCAGATCACTTGAGTTCAGGGATTTGAGACCAGCCTGGGCAACATGGCAAAACCCTGTCTCTACTGAAAACAAAAAATTAGCTGGGTGTGCTGGTATGTGCCTGTAGTTTCAGCTACTTGGGAGGCTGAGGTGGGAGGATCATCTGAGCTGGGGAAGTTGAGGCTAATAGTGAGCTGAGACTGTGCCACTGCACTCCAGCCTGAGTGACAGGGAAGGAGACCCTGTCTCACAAAAAGAAAAAAAGAAAAGAAAAGAAAAAAGAAAAAAAAGAGGTAAAATTAATTTAATTATAGTTTATTTAACTGAGTGCAGTATATCTAAAATATCATTTCAATATATCATTAATATGAAATAAAAACTAATGCAATATTTTACTTTTCTTTGTATTAAGTCTTTGAAATCTGGTATATACTTTAACATTTATAGCATATAACAATTAATATTAGCCATACCTCATGTGCTCAATAGTTGCGTATGGTCAGTGGCTACCATATTGGATATTAATGCTCTATCATATAAAGCAACTATCAGTAACTTCAGGATAACCTCATCAACATTTTGTTAGATTAACAAAAGTAATTCTACAAAAATGAAGAGTTTATGGATATTGTTTTCCCTGAATTTTTGCATATGTTCTTTATACTTGAAGGACAATTTTATGGGCTAAAAAAATCCTAGATCATATTTTCCTTTCTCCAGGACAATTGTGGACTTAGCTTCACTGAATTCTGCCAGTGAATGTTGTTATAGTGCAGCCTGAATGTTTTTCTCTCTTAAAGGTGACATTTTTCCCTACATGAATATCTAAAAATATCATTGCTTATCCTCAAGTTTCAGTAACTTAACAATATTTTAATATCATTCTGCATCATTTTGGAAAAGGAGTGCTTTTTCAGGCTGCATGTTTTTTAAAAGGGAAATTTTCCTGTATTATATCTTTGAATAAGTTTTCTGTTTCAGTTGTGGACTTTTCTATTGAAGAGACATTAATTATGTCAGATTATCTTCACTTGTAAGTAGTTGTTAGAACCATGGGCACTGGAGTCAGATAATTTGAATTCCAGCTTTGCCATTCAATATCAGCATGACTTTGCACAAGGCA